GGTGGTGGGCATGAGTTCCTTTCACAAAAGGTGCATCCGTGACTGTCTCCCTCCCCCCAGTTGCCCTGGGGTAATTCAGTCGAGAGTGTTGAGCCTGGGCCATCCGTCCCCTTTCCTTCCAAGAGCGGGGGCCGGTGTTTTTTGTTTGAGTTGGGGGGGGGGGGGGGGGGAAGGGCGCCGGGGGGGAGAGTAGAGCCGCGTCTTCGCATAACCGGGGGGCCCCCCCCCTCCCCCCACCTTTTCCCTGTCTTGCCTCAGGTCTACCATGGAGAGCCACCTGGACACACCATACAATGTGCCTGATATTGTGGTCACCATTGCCAACAACGACGTCGATTTCATCATCCGGTGAGGGGCTGCGTTTGTTCTGTGTGTGTGTGTGTGTGTGTGTGTTCCCACCCACGTCTTACCTTGTCACATCAGGCTCCCCTTTAACGCGGGACGGGAAGGGAGGAGGCGGGACAGGAAGTTGGGGGGTGGGAAGCATGTCGGGTGGCGAGGTTATTTGAAATTGGACCCCTCTGAAAGTGGAGTCCTCCGGGCTGGCGGGTGCCCGGTTGGAAGGCGAGGTGCTGCGCTTCAGCCTCCGACTGGATTCCTCCCGCCCGTCGACCCAACCAGCTCGTACCGACCGCCACCTCCCCTCCGCACCTCCCTCCACCCATCTGCACCTCCCCCTAAACCCCCACGTCCAGTCCTGAAGCAGGGTACTACCTGAAACGTTGACTGCTCCTTCCCTCCAGTGCCTTGCTGGGTTCTTCCATTGGATTCTGGCATCTTCAGATTTTTTATTTTTGTTTGTTTTGTCCCCTCGAGTGCACTCAAAATTAGCCACCTCGTCTCTTTCTGCATTGGTTCCCCTGGCGGTCTTTCTCTTGCGTGTCGTCTTGGTTATCAACACCCCCTCACTCCCTCCTCCGAAGGTCTTCCGGGTTCGAAACAGTGCACTTTTTCGGAGCAAGATAAAATACTTCCTATTTGCGTTGGTGCGAAAGATGGCGCTGAACGCGAGGACATGGAGCGCCATTGGTTTGGTCAACAGCTTTCACCGTAAGGTTTTGGGGGATGGATTATGGCAATGAAGAGGCCTTGCTCCAGTTGTACACTTCCAGACTGAGATGAAATGGGATTTCTTCACTCAAAGGGAGTGGGGAACTTTGGGACCAAGTGGGATAGTGTGGAACAGAGGAGCTGGCTCCTGCTCTTGTTTTCTCTCGGCCTAAAACTTTTTTTTTTCTCTTTTTGTGTAAATCGGCCTTTGGTTTGGGCTCAGGATCTCGGATAGAGGTGGAGGAATTCCACACAGGTGCCTGGATAAGGTTATGGATTACCACTTCAGCACAGCCGAGTGCAGTACTCAGGACCTTCAGGCCAACACCATCCTGGGCAACATGGTGGACATGGTCAACAGCGGACAATCGAGCCCCATGCACGGGTACGTCATCCTGTTGCGAACCGACACCTTCCCCGTTCGCCCCCACTCTGCATGGAACCCAATCCTGTACGTTCTCACTGTACCATCCCCATGAACTCCAAACCCCTTCCCCGTTCACTCCCGCTCTGCACCGTCCCCACGGACCCCAAATCCCTTCCCTGTTCGCTCCCGCTCTACACCGTCCCAATGGACCCCAAACCCCTTCCCCGTTCACTCCTACTGTATTCTATCCCAATGGACCCCAAACCCCTTCCCCATTCACTCCCACTCTACATCGTCCCCATGGACCCCAAACCCCTTCCTGTTCACTCCCGCTCTGCGTGGAGCCCTCCCTGTTCGCTCCGAACGTGCTTTCGGGCGAGTGCTCCCCGTTGACACCTGCTTCCTCTTCGTGTTGTTGGCAGGTTTGGATTTGGCCTGCCCACCTCGAGGGCCTACGCAGAGTATCTCAGCGGCTCGCTGGTCATCCAATCCCTTCAGGGAATCGGGACTGATGTCTACCTGCGCCTCCGGCACATCGATGGCAAAGAAGAGGCTTTCCGCATTTGATGAGGGAGGGGGCTCTGCACACCAATTTCACTCCCACAGTTGTGAAAGATTTGAGGGGCTTGGAGAAGGTCTAAAGTTTTGGTGGAGGGAGGGAGGGACGAGAGGGCTCAGCGGAAAATGAAAATAAAACGAGTGGAGGGTGTGGGGGGGGGTGGGGGGGGGGGGGGAGAGAGAGAGAGAGAGAGAGAGACCTAGAGAGAGTTTATAACACAGCCTGACCCCCGCCACGCTGCCACCTGGAGGAGGCCGCACTCCTGTTAGCTTCTGACTCGGCCATTGTCAACCCGTCAGCCGTTTTGTATTCTCAAAAACTGCCCCTCCAAACCCCCCTTGCCCACCGCTATCCAATTCCCACCTCAAGTTTGGGACCACTTTGAAACATGAGGACCGTCGCCCTGTGATTCTCGGGTGTCTGGGGCGAAGGTGGAGGAGGGGTGAGGGGTGAGGGGTGAGGGGTGGGGAACATTCCAAGGACGGGTGGCCATTTTAGGAACACTGGGTCTGTTTCTCACTCCCCCTGCTCCCTGGTCTCCTCCTCAGACTTTCAAGCCACCGTAAACCATGGGTTGGGAGTGCTGTCTAGCGAACGTCAGGGAGGGTGGGGGGGTGCAATCTTTAGAAAGTTCCGGAAACCAGCAGTTGTGGAGTGGTGGCCATTTTTTTTGGCCCACTGAGGCCTAAAATTCAGGCCAGAGAGAGAGAGAAGAAAATTACTGGCCCTCCTCCGATATCTTTGATTTGCGTTGCTCATCCCTCTCTATCTCTCTTTTTCCCACTCTCTCCCTTTCCTCAAACACATCACAAGCGTCCATTGTCGTGCCTTTATTTGAAGCATTAGCAGCCAGATGCCGACGGAAACTTCTGGACAGTTTGTTTTTTTATTTGTGGAAGAGGTTTGAGCGTTGGTACGGTGGGCTGGGTTGACAATGACACGATCTGTGACAGTTCATGGGAGCTTGCTGTGCATGTACGAGAGCGGGATTAGCAGGAGTCGGACATTAAACAGTAAAGGGGGGGAAGAGTGGCATGAGGCTGGGTGGGGGATATTAAAGGGGAAGAGTGTGGGGAGGGTTGAGAGTGGGATCAGAAAGGGTGTGGGGAGTGAGCACGATTAGACTGGGTGGGTTATT